CCCCTCCCCAACAAAGAAAATGGTGATAGTATCGCACATACCAGCCTTCATTCTGTCCTTTATGTTTGTGGTTGGTGCGTGCTCTGGTGTGGTTTGTCCATCTTTCCCATCTAACATCTGACGTCTCATCTCTCCTCTGTCTTTTTTTTTATATGCTAACATCTCCTTCCATTGGCATTTTATTTATTAGACCTGTTTGTGTTGCAAGTGCCGTAAAACTCTTACGAAAGCTGAAACTAAAATCGGCCTTTATCTTCCTTAAGTAACGCTTAACGTAGCAAATAAGTGATGCTTCACGTAGCAAATCAATTATATCTACATGTCATCTATCGTCAAAAAATTCGATCACAAAATGGTCTTTTGTAAATCTAAACAATTTCTTCTTTTTTTTTCACAAAGCAAAGTACTTTTGCATGATGACGTTATGTTCCTGGCCCAAATGCGAGGAAGCCACCTTCCTCTTGATGTAAAAGTAAAAGTTGTTCCCGCATCTAGTTCGGACATTGGGGATTGCCTTGTTAGTGAGACAACTTCCTGGGCATTCGGCATATTGTGGTTGGGTGACCAGTTCCTTTCCATGTTGCCTTTACTTCGCCAACTCGAAGTCAGGTACCCATTACTGAACCGAGGCTCGAACCCGGTCTTTCCGGAGTTTTAAGACTGGTGACCACCACATAACAAATTCGCAAAAATGCACCGACTTGAGTCCACGTGAAGATAAAAAGATATCCAAGTATCGCTTCAGTAAAGAGAGACATGACATGACAAGGTATTTTTCCTTCGATTAGCTGGAAGTGTAATGATGAATGACTTCAGCCATTATGGTATAACGTTGCCGAGATGTGCGTGTACACCATTCGCTACCTCAGAATTGCAACGTTTTATCCGAGTTTTGGCCGTTTTGAGCTGCAAAGACCATGAGGTCAGAAACCAAATGTTCTGTCTGCTCAGTCAAAATCATACGATTATTCGGAGTCGTTATCAAGATATTCAAAGAATTGCATTCGAAAAAGCTAGATATGATGTGAAACTAAAAATCTTTGACGTCAAATTTCTCAAAACTAGGTACTGAGCAGATAGGACTTTGTAATTCTGAGGTAGAGAATTGTGTGTGCAGCGTTCCTCTGGCCGAGGTGCTCACACGATCATTACCGGCTCAGACTGCCAGTGCTCATTACGCACACTGCTCGATAATAATTTTCTATTTGATCTATCACTGCAGGAGAGTGGGGATTTCTCTTCGTCTCCGACATTTGTCAGCATTACTTTGCTTTAACCCTTTCTCTACCAAACCTGCTTTACAATCTTTAAAAACCTGGTGGTTGGAGAATGCCATTGGTAGATCCTTTTTCTTTACTTTCCCTCTGTTGCTTTTGTCTGTATTACTTTTACCCAGCACCAATTGATCGTTATTGTAATGATGTGATTCTCTTTACTCAAAAAACAAAAAAATAAAAATCTTAACAAAGAGTTCACAGAGTCTTGGACGGGGCATTGAATATGTTAAAGAGCTTGTATCGAAATCGATTGGCTAAAAAAATAGTATGTATTGCTATACAGTTTAAGCAAAGCCTAAAGGCCCAACTCAACAATAGAATATGTGTCCTTGCAATTTTTTGGTGACAGCAATATAGAAAGTGTTCAGACAATGTCGCCTGCCAATTTTGCGTCAGAATCTGAAAACGTTTTTGCTTTATTGTACTTCCGGACGAGCCACGATATTATTGTTTTAACATCTGAGTGCCAAGTGAGATTTATTTTGCTTAAATTTGTAAAATAAATCAATAATTGTTGGCATGTACGGAACAATATCTATTTACGAATATCTCTCTCTCTCTCTCTCTCTCTCTCTCTCTCTCTCTCTCTCTCTCTCTCTCTCCCAACACACACCCACACCCAAAGAGGCTTTTGAGTGTATGCACGTTCTCTTTCCTTGTT